GGTAACGGAGTCCTGTCCTGCTCGTGCGGGGGGTGGGGGAGGGGCGGTGGCCACTCAGGGAAATCACTGATATTATGAGAGGAAACGGCAGAACGCAAAGTAGGAGAAAACACTTCAAACAAATAAAATCACTCATAAAAGCAAGCGATTTAGCATGTTTTCACATCTTTTGGTGGCTTGTGTGTTTTTATTAAACAAACTTGGATGAATAAATCATCACATCCATATTGACAGATTTAAACAGCTGTTCCTCCGCTTTTGGAAGAAAATATGTACTTTGTAAATTCACATGACGTAATGTCTCTGTCTCTTCCCCGCTTCAAACTCGTTCCTACATGATTAATAAACTCCTATGTAAGTTACTGTACAGCTGTATAGTCTCGGTGACGCGCAGCAGCGCGATCTTCACACACACATAACGTTACACAGAGCAGACTCCGATGCGAGAGCAAAACTGCGAGGATTAAAGTTTAATAACATGCCCATATACATCGTGAGAGCTCCTGCTGCTCAGGGTAAATTAGTCTATTTTTATTTAAATAATAATTATTGCGAATTTATCTATTATTGAATGTGGATTATCTGTCAATTCATTCATAATAATGATATCGCCTCCGCTCCGCCATTTTTGTTGATGACGTGATGGCCTCAGATTGGTCAGATCATTAAGTCCCGCTCTCATAGTGGCTTCCTGCGCTCTGATTGGTCAGAATCCCCGAAGTGTGTATCTTTTCCGGAAGTGCAGTACTCCTAGAGGGCGCTGTGTTATACACACTTTAGTGGGGGGGCATACACACTTCACATACACAAATCACTTAAAACTGATTTTTTGGGACAAGTGAGATTTTAAGTCTGGACACCATTTTAGAGTATGCTGAATGCCATTATATAGTCAAACAAATGAGGACATACAAAATGTCCTCAATTTTTGAGGTGGTCCTCAGTTTACTGGTGTGTATCCTGGTGAATGTACCCAAAAGGGACATAAACAACACACACACACACACACACACACACACACACACACACACACACACACACACACACACACACACACACACAGACAGACAGACAGACAGACAGACAGACAGACAGACACACACACTGTAAGGCCTCAATAAAGACATTAAGATCAGATTAAGATAAGCCAAATAAAAAACTGCTGATCTCATATGACTAAAACTGAAACAAAATGAGCAACTGAATGAACAGGAAATACTTAATTTATCAGTGTCCTGGTTTGTTAGGACAAAAAAAGTTTAAAAAGGGACATGGAAATCTTTTTTTATATATATATTTTTTATATCTTAATATTGCGTTTTTTTTCTGGTTGGGACAGTTCTGTGTTTTTTTGTGTCTGTATTAAAAAATACTGCTTAACACAATTTACATTAAGGTCCCATTAGTTAACATTAGTTAATGCATTGCCTAGCATTAACTAGCAAGGATCAAGACATTTGTTAATATTTATTAATCCTGGTTAATGATAATTAATACAAAAATATAGCTGTTTATTGTTAGTTCAGTCAGCTCAGGTCCATTAAAAAATATTAACAGATGCACCTTTTAATTAACATTAACTAAGATTAATAAATGCTTTAGTTGTTCATTCATATTAACTAATGTAGTGTTAACAAATGAGACCTTACTGTAAAGTGTTACTGACATTTATAGTCAATAAACAATAAACGCTGTTTTTTACTTTCTATTCATCAAAAAAAATCACGGTTTTATCATGGCTTCCCACTTAAGCAGCACAATAACTGTTGACTGTTAACATTGATGATAATGAGAAATGTTTCTTAGCAAATCAGCATTTCAAAGTGATTTATGAAGGGTCATGTGACACTAAAGACTAAAGTAATGGCGTATACTGCAGAGAATGTAATGTAAAGAAATGTGTCTTTTTATAACTTTTCAGACAGCAGACATCCAAAAACAAAGTTCTAGTCTTGTTAGTGCCTCGCACATAAAGATGAAAGTGTGCCCAGAAGCTCATTACGGTGAAGAGATGTCATTCAGATGGCAGTATTTGATCTGTAGTTCATAGTGTGCTGGAATCACGAGTATCTGAGGCATACTGAACAAACATTTCACTTTCAGAAGCATGCTAATACACTTTCTCACTACTGTGAAAGCAAAATTGTAAGTAGTATGGGTAAATACGTAATAAAGTAAATAAAGTAAAAATGTCTTTGGTAAGATATGACAAAGAAGCCTTCTTGACAATATTGTTAAATAATAGTATATAATATGAGGTGTTGTCAACTAAAATGATTCTGGCTGGTGTGTGTGTGTGTGTGTGTGTGTGTGTGTGTGTGTGTGTGTGTGTGTGTGTGTGTGTGTGTGTGTGTGTGTGTGTGTGTGTGTGTGTGTGTGTGTGCGCGCGCGCGCGTATGTGCACATGTGTGTGTGTGTGTGTGTGTGTGTGTGTGTGTGTGTGTGTGTGTGTGTGTGTGTGTGTGTGTGTGTGTGTGTGTGTGTGTGTGTGTGTGTGTGTGTGTGTGTGTGAGACAGAGACCAGAAGCCGTGAATGTTGTGAAAAAGGACTATATTTTCACCTGACACAACATGCGCCCGTGTCCCGGACTGCCGTCAGATGGCCATAAAACTAAAGCCGTCTTTAGATTACTGTTTTGAGCACAGAGTGTGTGCTGAGAATGTGAGAAGAATGTAAGTTAGCAGCACACAGAACAGGACACACAGGTAACCTAAATTACATAGTGTGTTTAATCAGGTGAGGGGGTTCAGGTCACAGAAAACCATGAGAAAATGTCTCGCAGCAAAACTATTACAACAGCAAATGTAAACCTTTATGTTTAATATAGAATACGCCAATGAGAGGCCATGAATTTAGACATTCCACCCTGCAAAAACTCATTTCCTGGAGGTGAGGGCTGTCTTCTCGACAATAATGCAATAAAATAGCCTTACATATTTCACCCAAACAAATACTGAAAGTATTTTTTTTAAATATCTTTTGTTGTTTTTTTCAACAGAGGAAAGAAACTCATAAAGATTTGGAACAACTTGAGGGTGAATAAGTAATGACAAAATGTTAAATTTTGGGTGAACTACCGGTATCCCTAACCATTTGACCCTATGAATCACCCTAGTTCAAGCCAACCAGGATTGTCAGGTCCGCGTTTTTTTCCTACTCCAAACATTATTTGTTGCACGCCTCCCATTCAGTAATCGCAGAGAGCTTTGTGGTTTGTTACTTCTGATTAGAAAAGTCTCAGATTTCAAATTCTGTCCATTTTGATTTTATCACAAAATTCAAACAACGTTTTGGCGCTCTTAAATGTGACGTAATGTCATGCGTCGCAGCCTCAGTTCAAGCGGCAACATGGAGCGCTAGTCTTAGCTACTCTTGTTCCACTTATAACACGACAAATAAACATTCATTAACATGAACACCAAAAGGTATGTTGAAAGATACAGTACAACTTATCAAAATGTATAATCTCATGTGATCGCTCATTTAGCGTTTCAACCGCGAAAAGACGTCAATAAAACAGCTTGTCACAAACTTGCATTTACCTCAGGAAAGGTTACTTAGGCTATCCAATGTTTACAGTTCATTAGTTATCTATAAAAACACTAGATTATTTACTGTTAATTATGTTTGAATAAATGTATTATGAAGACATGTGTTTATGCAAACTACCTTGTGTGCAACTGTTAAAACATTTAAATTTTTTATAGTGCAATGATTATCTGAAAATGAATAGCAGTTCAATATAACAGATTATTAGGCTTTGTTGTTAGTTTTAACCTCAAATATTATAGCAATATGTACAAATTGAGAGGGTTCCCTGTATAGTTTACATTATAAGTTGGGAGAGACTCCCCCCCTTAAGAAAATCAAAGTATCTAGGCAGATATTCTGAATAATGGTATTGGACATTTTGTATCAGTGTTTATTTTTATTAATAATAATACCATAGGAAAATTGGTCTGTTAGATTATAGTTTCTGGGTAATATTGTAGACATATAAATATATAAAATAAATAATTATATAATATTTCTTAATATAGAAGTAGCTATTTCAGCTGTTCAACTGTAATGACTTTATATAAATTTAGAATAGCATAGTAAACACTTTCTTTCACTTTCAAATCTTTGAAATGTTGAACAAATCTTATTTAGCTCTCAATTTCTATGTCGATCTGTTTTTATAGTTTTAGTGCATAATTGATAATTTGTCAGACTTTAAAAGCCTCATATCTAGATGGTAAAGACTTTATCTCTGTTTGAGTCTCCCTCTCTCTCTCTCTCTCTCTCTCTCTCTCTCTCTCTCTCTCTCTCTCTCTCTCTCTCTCTCTCTCTCTCTCTCTCTCTCTCTCTCTCTCTCTCTCTCTCTCTCTGTCCTCTAAATGCTGTATTTTTGTCTCAGAAAACTTTGTGTCTGAGTGGTTTATTCTGCACATTTATTTTTAACTGCAGGAGTAGACAAACAGTGAGGGGAATCCTCCCAAAGCCTCTTGGTAAGAGCCCTCAACTGAAACCCTGGAGCAGACTCTTCCGATGGGCTTCACTATCGTCCTGTATCCATTAAAACAAGGTATAGACTGAATAAGTGTAACCAAAATGAGTCCTCACAAACAAATGCATTGTGCATAATAACAGTACTTGCAGGCTGCAAGTTCGACAGTCATTGTCTCTAAAATTGTTGTTCAGGGGGTGAATTTAAATTTGAAGTGCTGCTTTAATGGTCACAGTGGCCCTGTTAATGGAATAAATTCATAGAAGCATCTCCTCATAGAAGATTTTAGCATGCTGAGAGTCTAAAACTCTCGGATGATGCATCTCGAATCCAAACCACTACCCCTAAACATACTAAATCTAAAAAATGGAATCAAAAGAATGTAGATACACTCACTAGCCAGTGTCACTGACTGATTAGTTGCATATTTTCTGACACATACATTTATGGAGACACTGAAACAACACACAGTAAAGAAGGTCAACATAGGTCAATATAGAAAGTTCTCACCTGTGTATCCAGGTGTTGTGGCAGTGATTCTGTGGGGAACCCGAGGAGACACGCGTAGACCTGCCCTCACCTGATAGAAGCTGCAAGTGACAAAAAGTGAAAAAGACCCAGAATTAGACCTCATTTGACGAATCATCATCAGATATGTACAAGTTACAGTTAAAAGAGACAAACCAAAACACAGAGCAAGTTACATTGTGTCTGAAATTGATGATGTCCTTGCTTAAAAAAAAAACACATAGCATTAACATAAAATCAAGATATAAAATAAAACTTCTTTTTTTCCGTTTTTTAATATTTCATGTGATTTCAAATTATGGTTAATTTAATGTTTTGACACTTGTATGGTACTAATATTTCACATATCACTTTTTACTGTATTTCTGATCAAATAAATGCAGCCATGGTGCACTTGTTTTAAAAATATTTAAAAATATGAATTATTCCAAACTTTTAGAATACTTTTCAGTGTATACAGTATATATACAAATTTAAAACACATTGAATTCTATATAAACTAAGCTTGTGTTTCCTAATAAAAGACTGTGGGATGCTCTACTGGTAAATTTCTCTACATATGACTAAATTATGAAAACCTCTCAGGACAAAATGGCAATAAAAAATGGATATAATGCATACCTATACCATTTACACTAAACAAGACCGGGATAAACAGCTTTTTATCTGGTCAGTGTGAAATCTTATGCAGTGAATCTCTAGTAGAACATAAATAATGATGATGAATTAATGTGAAAGCTTAGTCGGCATGTTCAGACGGCCCAGACTCCATCAGGGGGATAGCACAAAGGTCACCTTGGCCAGTGAGGTGACTGCGGTTGCATGTTAAATGTTGAAGCACTTCACAGATCATACTCTCTGGAGCTCCTGGACTGAGTCGGGTCATCCCTGTACTCCACAGCAGCTCCGCAAGAACATCTACACCACAGTATGTTGATAGTACATGCTAAAATATGTCTACAGCACACGTCAAATACACAAGCTTCACCACATCTACAGCACATGCTAAATGCAACTACAGTTCCACGCTGAAACGTTACCATAACACTTGACTAAAGTGTCAATAGCATGCACTAAAATGTCTGTAGCACATGCTAAAACATGTCTGCAGTGCAGTACAAGCTACGACTTGTTTGAAATACATGATGCACTGTTGCAGCATGTGCTAAAACGTCTGTAGCGCATGTTAAAGCATGTTTACAGCGTAACACAAGCTACAACATGTCTGAAATGATATAGCACCTGTCTGTAGCACATGTTAAAACATGCAGTGCTGAAGGCTGCTGAAAACAACAGCTTCATGCTAGCGTTTACACAAAGTAATTTGTAATTTGGCAAGTTTTGTAAATTTCCCACATGGAATTAAAGTTGGCATGGAATGGAAGTGGCATTATTCTTTTCTTCCCTATTGTGATGTATATTCAAGTGAAACGGTTCTGGAATAAGAAAAAAGGTAGGGCAGGATTTGATTTTGTCCTTGGGAATTGATTGGATCATAGGAAGTTGGACATTGCATTTTTGGAAGCATATGAATTTAAAAAAAAAAAAAAAAATTGTGGGAAAATTGCTGCTTACATACATTATATCGCCTGTGCGTGTCTCGTCATATCCGTAAATCAAGAATCGTTTCTTTGGATATTTTGACGTGTGTCTGGTGTGGGAGTGGCATAGGTTTGCATAGGTTATTGTTATTATAGTTGTTGTAGCGCTGTACTAAAGGGTGCAGCTAGACTCACTGTAGAACGTTGATTGGTTTACAGAGAATTGACCCTTACAAGAGGAATGACCACACTAGAGGCCAACCAGTCGGAGTGGAAAAGGGAAATGACGTGCTGTACATGCAAAATCCAAAAATGGCATTTTATTGGAAAGTGCTGAAATATTTACAGTGCAGGAGAAAACAAAAATAAATAAAAACTGTACAAAAAGAAAAGAAAATTGTACAGTTTTTATTTATTTTTGTTTTCTCCTGCACTGTAAATATTTCAGCACTTTCCAATCAAAATGCCATTTTTGGATTCTATGCCATGTACAGCACGTCATTTTCCTTTTCCACATCCGACTGAGTTAGGCCTCTAGTGTGGTCATTCCTCTTGTAAGGGTCAATTCTCTGTAAACCAATCATATTAAATAATATAAACACCCAACACAACACTTAAACCTTCCAAACAGCTAAAACAACAACCATTAACAGAGAAAGAGTTTAACAACAAATTAAATGGCAAAAACAACTGTTTCTATAAAGAGTTGAAAACTACACTGAACAAAATTATAAACGCAACACTTTTGTTTTTGCCCCCATTTTTCATGAGCTGAACTCAAAGATCTAATACTTTTTCTATTTACACAAAAGGCCTATTTCTGTCAAATATTGTTCACAAATCTGTCTAAATCTGTGTTAGTGAGCACTTCTCCTTTGCCGAGATCCCCCCCCCCCCAATACAGTAAACCTGCACATTTTAGAGTGGCCTTTTAGGCCCCATTTACACTGCATGGTTCAAGTGACCCAAATCCGATTTTTTCCTCTCATGTGGCACAGATCGGATATGACCCATGAACGTGTAAGCAGGAAAAAAACGCATGGATTCCGATTTTCTCAGATCGGATTCAGGCCTCACTCATATGTGGTAATAAATCGGATATGAATCGGAAACGTGCATTTGCGTGTGCCATGTAAGCAGACAAATCGGATATTCCCCAGTAAATGCGAGTCGTACGTCATTAAAAAAGTGACGTCAACTCAGGACTCAACAACTGAGATCACATGACTTATTATAGGCGCGATGGAGGACGAAGGATACACACAGTGGAGCAATGCGGAGGTTTCATGTCTTTTGAGTGTTTGGGGCGAAGAGACAGTGCAGGCAAAAATGCACGGTTGTTACAGAAATAAATCGGTGTTTGAAGACATTTCACGAGATATGGGGAGGCACGGTAAGCGCTCGTGGCTACAGTGCCACCGTAAGATAAAAAGCTTAATGACTTTTAAAAATATTGTGGAAAGCAAAACACTGGATAATTTTATTCGCATCTGCATCCATTGTATTTCGTGCTGTTTTACTTCCTTTTCCGGGTCAGAACGTCTACATTTGGTAGTTTCAGCAGTGTATAGTGTAAATGCAAAAATCGGATACGGGTCACTTTTAAAAGATGATGTAAGCGGGTCGTCAAAAAAATCGGAAATAGTCAGAAAATCGGATTTGGGCATCAAGACCTGCAGTGTAAATGCAGCCTTATTGTGGCCAGCCTAAGGCACACCTGTGCAATAATCATACTGTCTAATCAAGTCAAGTCATCTTCATTTATATAGCGCTTTTAACCAAGGATTGTTCCAAATCGGCTTTACAGTGATAATAGGAAATTAAAGTAACAGAGATTATTTTGGTTTTATAGCAGCTCTAGAATAAAGTTATTTTCCAGCTAAAGTTAATCAGCATCTTGATATGCCACACCTGTGAGGTGGATGGATTATCTCGGCAAAGGAGAAGTGCTCACTAACGCAGATTTAGACAGATTTGTGAACAATATTTGAGAGAAATAGGCCTTTTGTGTACATTGAAAAAGTCTTAGATCTTTGAAAAATGGGGGCAAAAACAAAAGTGTTGTGTTTATAATTTTGTTCAGTGTATAACAAAACACAGCAGTAACAAACTTTAGACTGAACAAAACAAAAACTCCATAACCCTTCCTGATGTGTTCACAGATGTTAATTTTGCCGGCAATGCACAATATCAGTGAAATGGGTGTATGTTTGTAAGTTTGCAAGTTTATAGAGTCACCATGTTAACCTGTGACAGTGCCATTTTTTAATATAGAGTTGAAACACACCGTTGCAACACAATGTTTTTTGTCTTGTGACAAACAGCCACATGCCGAGAAGCAAGAACAAAATCTGCTGTAGGTCCTCCATTGGTGTTTACTGTTTCGCTTTCTTCTTCGCAGTTAAACACAGGTTTAATGACGTTGATCGCTGCATTCCGACATACACCACACCCATCAAGTAAAGGTACTATTAGCGGTGGAAACACAAGCCGGATCAGGGTGTACCATTGTACTGTACTGTACCGCTCTGTGGAAACGAGCCATTAATGGGTAGTTCCACAGAGAAAACAATGGTTTGGAACAACCTGGTGAGTAAAATGTGACATTTGTTTATTTGTTCTTTTCTGTTTCACCAAATCCACATCATCTTCTTCAACCACATACCACACACACACACACACACACACACACATAAATGGTAAATGGACTGCATTTATATAGCGCTTTCACAGACCCAATGGCCACCAAAGCGCTTTACATTTTGTCTCTCATTCACCCATTCACTCACTCATTCATACACCACCGAATGACTGCTCACCTAATACTTTATTCCCAAACAGATTCTCCACGCTCACTATAACGCATTCTGTTGGGCTCCACCAGACACATATAGGCTAAAGTTGTATTAGTTCAATCTGTTCTGTTCTATTGTTAGATGCTTCTCTTCAGAGCAGGAACTACATACAGTGGCTGTAAAAAAACAAACAGTATATAACAGCAGTCTATGCCTTCTGGGGATTATTTCAGAGGAGATTCAGAGGTTTAGCTGTCTGCTTTATGGAGGGGGAAGGGGCAATCAAATCTCTGCAAAGCTGATGTTTCAGCCAACAGCCTGGCTTTAATCTCAGAGCAAACGCAGTGAGTTGAACAACATTATGAGTGACCTTTACTCAACCTCTGCTTCACACAGCTGTCAGGAGACTGGTTGAGGATAGAGAGGAAATAGTATTTAGATCTGCTGACAAACGGGTGTCTACTGAGACGTAACCGACTTTAGATGTACTGCTAAGAGTCAGGATGTCTAGCTTTATTGTAGATTTGTAGACTCGTTTTATCCAAGTCACAGAGCACACTTGTTTCTTTTTTTAGAAACTTTGTTTATCGCCCTTGTTGATTACCTTGGTGTTAGCTCTGCCTGCTTCTTAAAGACAACATGAACTTTCTCTGTTATAAACAATGCCTTTAGCATTCTGTGGTCTTTAAGTCTTTCTATGGAAGTTGCCTACGAGTTCAGTAATCATGTGATTTGTATTCAAGTGATTTTTGTCTGAATAAAATAGGCACATTTTATTTATAGGGCAGTATTATTTTTCATTTATTCATCTGCCAGTCTCTTGTGTTATAAAATTAAGAAGTACAATTAGTAGAGTTTTTCTTCAAGCTTTATCCCTGTTCTTTATCAACAACGGTGCACAGAATGTGTACAAATGAACTGCCAACTCCACTGTTAACACTCAAGGCAATTTATATTAATTATGACCAATAGCAAATATTCAAAAACTTTTTTTGTGCACTGATGCAATTTGTACAGTAACACCAGGAATATTTTTTAATTACGATAAATAATTAAGTTTGTGTTAACTACCCATCTTTAAATGGGTAGTTAACACAAGCTTTTTTTCATTAACATCAAGTTTTTGGTAATTTTATTTGTATGTAATATCTCCTTTTTGCTTTTGCTAATTCATTTTAAACGGACCTGCAGAATTTTTGACATGAATTATTCTATTCCATTGCCATAATAAACTTGTGTACGGTAATTATAAAATAATTAGTAAAATGTTGTTTTGCACTTTTTAAAATGTATATTTAGTGTGTATATATATATATATATATATATATATATATATATATATATATATATATATATATATATATATTTTTTTTTTTTTTTTTTAATAATATATTTAGTCATATTTAATATACTCTGCCGTTCAAAAGTTTGGTGTCAGTAAGACGTTGTAACATTATAAATAACTATTTCAAAGAAATGCTGTTCTTTTGATTTTTCTCTTCATCAAAGAATCCTGAAAAAGTAGCACGGTTTCCACAAAAATATTAAGCAGCACAACTGTTTTCAACATAATAATAAGAAATGTTTCTTGAGCAGCAAATCATCATATTAGAATGATTTCTGAAGGATCATGTGACACTGAAGACTGGAGTAATAATGCTGAAAATTCAGCTTTGCATCACAGGAATGGATTACATTTTAATTACATAGAGAAATTTTAATCAAATGAATTAGCATAAGGGACTTCTCTCAAAAACATAAAAAAATCTTACCAACCCCGAACTTCTGAACAGTAGTGTGTCCATGCCATTTATTTGTAATGTCAACCCCTCATCCAAACACTGAATTAGCACCAAAGTGACTAGTAGAACTTCCAGAAGAATCATAAAGGTCATGGCAGGCCACACAGTTTTGTCTCTGAACCTCAAATTAGTTCCTATAGTCAGATCTCTATATGCTGCATAGTTAAAAATCAGTGACCTGTAAAGTCATTGAATTCCCTGTAGACTTCACCTGCTGCTCACAGCAAGGGTGTAATTGATTTGACTTGAACCAATGACAGGAAAATAATGTACAAAAACAGCAAAAATCAATCATTAATTTACCAGTCTACTGAACCGAACACCTTCATGTGATGCCTTATGATCTTAGCAGGGGAGGTGTATATGAAAACAGTGTTTAACACTCAGTCCACACTACAAGCGAGCTGTATACCTCACCGCTATAACAATCAGTAAAGATGTCAATATTGCAAACAACACAGCTTCAGACATTTGCAGTGTAGCAACTTTTTTTGGTTATAGTCAAAGCAATCTCGTTTTTTGCATTTGCAGTGTAGATAATGGGTGCATTGACAGTGTTACAGAGTGCTTATTTTTCTAGTAACTTCATTAAAGGTGACCTATAATTCAAAATTGAATTTACCTTGGTATAGTCAAATAACAAGAGTTCAGTGCATGGACATGACATAGAGTGAATCTCAAACTGGACTGTTTTCGCGTTCTCGTTTAATTCACGTTTATGAAAAACACCCCTGAAAAACGGTCGGTTCTCCACACAATACCGACTGTGACGCAATAGTCGGGATCATTAATATGTACGCCTCCAAATATTTGCATAATGCCAGCCCTCAATGCCAGGCGGAACTGCGCAGCCGAAGCATGGCAGTTGCTCAGTGTGGATGTACACATGAACACAAAAGTATTTTTTAGTTCCTTCATCTGAGCCTCTGAAGAAACAATGGGTTAATTTTATTTTCTCTGGAAATTTCCAAACATTTCACCGACGACTGTTTCCTCAACTTGGGCCAATATAGAGCTGGCCTCGGATCGAGCTACCAAGCAACACTTTCTGATGTGTAATTGTTCAAGTTCAGACAGGTAATCTTTCTCTCAAAATCGTTCAATACTGTTTATGCATCAGTAAGTCAAGCCAGTGACTAAAATATCAGCTTCACATCGTTTCTTTTAGTAGGATGAAAATAATCGTATTTAAATTGTAGACAAATTATATACAGAAAGCGATCAAAGAACAATCTTTCCACACAGCGCGAGTTTATCTGGACACTTGCCAAACTCGTTATGAAATCAATGACGCACGTTACTGCACAACGAAGCTCTTACTGTATTTACATCATGGTGTTTGCATTGGTGAAAGCTGAGAGAGTGCAGAAACTGCTTTGCAATGATAAGATCTTTATTCTCGCGATTGTTGTAATGTTTGTCTGTGTTCCCCCTGTGACTGTCTTTGTGCTTTTGGTTCAGTCCGGTTCAGTTTTCCCGCTCCTCGTTTGTGTTCATGTATACCACGCCCTCTTGTTATCTTGTTTAGCTTGTTTGGCCTTGTATTTAAGCCCTGTGTTTCAGTCCAGTCTTTGTGAGTTCTTGTTGTTGTAACATTGATGTTGGTTGTTCTGTTCCTGAGTCTTGTCCCCTAGCCTGAGTCTTTATGTAGTTTGAGTTTATTGAATAAAGTGTGCTGCAATTGGATCCTGCTCCCTCCTTGCTTCCACCTCATCATAACAGCGATCAACACACTGTCATCTGCTCAATGCTCATCACGGCAACATTTTATGTGATGGGAATAGATCTAAATACTTTAAAAACATCTCACGATTCGTTAATCTCGATAGCTGTTATAGTAAAAACGTATAATAGCTGTAGTAAAAGTATTCGGGAGAGAGTTTCACATGTAATGCGTTGCTATTTCATATGCAAGCATGTCAGCCAATCACAGCAGTGGCCGCGGTTACACTGAATCCCACAGCAGACACGCCCCTTCAAACAGAGTGTTCAAATCAGAGGCTAAAAGCAGGCTAGGAAAAATGCCATTTATTTCTAAATTATGATTATTTTTTATCTAAAAAACATACTAACATTATAAGGGTAACCCAGGAAACATTATAAAATAATAAAAAAAACATTCTAGGGCACCTTTAAGGTAAACAAATGTGTAAATAACAATGTTATTAGCTAGGAAGCTTCTCTTCTCAAGAAATAGCTTGCATAGACATGATATGCTATAACCATCACTTAAATAACAGCCTCATTACTTTTCTATGGCAATATTGTCAGTAAACTTTTTTTTTTTTTTTTACATGAAACATACATACGGATGAAATTCCTACAATAGGTGTCGAATACACATACAGAGAAGACTGCACCAATAGTGGTACCAAATATATTCCCTTTATTTACATTTCAGTTTGACTCTCCCTGTCTGCTCTTCGTCTAACAAACTCATGTCATTGTCATCAATAGCCTAGAAAAAAATCTCTATGGAATTGCATGGGTTCTGTTAATGTATTTCCTGTTGAAACAGGAAATTAGATCGACATATATCGACACACATCTAAAAGTTTGAGGTCAGTAAAAAAAAAAAGTTTTGAGAACTTTTTTACTGTTTTTTTATTTTATTTTTTATCAGATGAAGTCTGCCTTGTTGAGCATAAGAGACTTCTTTCTTAAACATTAAAAAAATCCTACTGACTCTAAACTATTTAAGGGTAGTGTATTTTTTTTAAATAGCAGAATATTCTTTAGTCTAAATAGCCTTTAGCAGATGCTATTCGGGTTCTAGTAGAGAGCATTTGTTTGGAGTTTTAGATGCAACCTTGAGTCCAAGATGAGTCATTAACATTTTTTTGTGCATTTTACCATTAGAGAAAATGCATATATTTGCTAAAAGTTTGTTTTGTCTGCTTTTCGAAACACTTGCTATTAACATAAGTTCTGAAAGCTAACGAGACATGAACTAAAACGCCAACACAATGCCATCTATTCATTGCATTGAAAAAGAACATGAAAACATTTCTGGAATGTGAGAGCACATTCTCAATCAAACTGCACAGAGTGATCCAAACTGGCTCTTAGGGTTTGTACATGATGCCGTCACCATGTGCTATTCCTGAACATGTTGTTTAGAGAACAGATGCTTTACAAAGCCATTCATCACAGCCTTCAAACATGCAGAAGAACACAGACTTACCCTCTCTGGAAGAGATCCACATTGTGAAACTTGTGCAACTCCAGTGAGAACTCCACAGTGCCCTGTACTTCCGACATCATCCATTCCATCGCCTAGAGAGAACAAGAGAAGTTAATTTGCAGCTAAACACTTCAAGCCTCGCATCGTCTTATCCAACCCTGAATGCATTTCTCTTTCAGAACTCTGTGTTGCTGTACCGTTGTCAGCGGTACAGCAACACCGCTGTTGCTGTTTGCCCATTGTGAGGGTGTGTGTTGTTCAATGAACATAATCCAATGACTCCGTAATAGAGTGGCAGACGTACACCCGTGACTCAGGAAGACGCCATTTCTAATTACTCAGGCTGTGACTCATCTCAGACAATATTTGTTCTGGGAACCTGATGTGCCGCTCTGAGGCAAACCAATGCACGATGCACGGCTCCAAGACGAATGACAGCAGTGGCATTTCTGGACATGATCCCAAATCATACTTATGACACAATCCGTCTCACAGACGCCGCAGCTCAAAGCCACTTCACTCAAGCTGGACCTGTATGAGTGTGTGGTGCTAATCACATCTAATGGCTTCTTCCCACACAACAGGTTGTGTAGTTGTGACACGAGTGGAATCTGAGAGAATATTGGCTTATCCAGACTGGCTTTATGGTGGAAGAATCAGCGTGTTTTAGATGGGAAAACTCAACCATGGTTATTAGTATTCACAAATTCCCTCACAGTTTCTCTGTCTGTCCATCATCGTCTTTATTGCATGCTCTCTGTCATAACTTTGACAGAAAGACTGATATATACACCAAGCCGTCAGCCCATATTGATGCCCAAGTGTCAGATTAATAAGTGATTATCAGTTCCAAAATCTTGAGTAAATTTATGTAAAATAAATAGTATTTTTACAGTATTTGCTATCATTAAAATGTACCACATTAAGAGGTGCCCAGGACACACACACACACACACACACACAAATATATATAAATTAATTATATATTTTAATTAAATATTTCTTCTGTAATAAAGAAAACCGTAATATAGTAATGAGAATCATTTATAATGCTGAGAAAGACAATATCAGACTCATCATTGTAATGAGAAATGAGGGATATAAAGTGCTCAATTATGCTGAAAATGTTGCAGTGAAAACTAAGGGTCTTCTTGACTATAAATATTGTCTTTTTATTATCTGTATCAGTCTAATTGCCTGATATTGGAAGCAGATAAACTCAGAATAGTTGAAAGTGTTTTATATGCCATGTCACATCTATATTTTCTATAATGTTAAAATGTTTCAATGTCTTAAAATATTCTAGATTCGATTTTCCTGAAAACTATTTCTTTAATAAAATCAGCAGTCATATCAGTGAATATGTACAGTATGGATTGGAAATAATTCTAACAGTTATGCTTCATTAGTAAGCATGGGTTTATTTCGGTTGACTATTATTTTCTTTTCCAGCAGGGTTATGAAGACACATCAAGGCATTTTTCAATGAAATACGCAGCATGCGTCCATAAACTGCACTGATATATTGCCACCGAATCTGCAGATTTTAAGGACGTCCCATCGGTGGGGGGCAAAGAAGCAGAATTTCCTGGATATAAATCAGCTGGCATGTTGAAGGTGAGCTAAACAAACAGTTGCAACAGTGTGTGACGGCCAAACAGACGTGCACTGGCCCTTAGGATCCTAGTGTGTTTTATACAGTCGGTTAACTCCAGTGTGCTCATTATTGTCAGGCTCTGGTGAACATTCAAATCAAGGTCAATGACACATATCCTCAACTTTATGTCTCAAAGTTCTCATTTAAGCTTAGATTAGACTTTCCAGACAAATTCAAATAATAGGAAAAAATACGATTTTTTTTTTCTTTTACTTTATTTAGTAGCTGAACAAAATTAGTACCCATGTCACAGACACAGGCACATCCTCAGCTTGGTGTTTCTAAGCAGTTAGAGATGCATTATTCCCAAAAACCCTTCCTGATTCTTATGCTTTGATGTCAGAATATCGTGTCCAACAATGCAATGCTTGACCTGCCATTTCAAGTATGATGAATATAACAATAAACTGCTTTGTTTCTTGATTCATTATTTTGCCAAAGGTAAAGATATTTTCGCACAAATTTGGATTAAACATACAAAATATATTTGTTTCCAACTGGATTCGCTGAATTCGACATGTAATGTAGAGCAGTTGGGTGACAATTCCATCCACCTATTTTTATCCAAATTTTGGGATATCGCATAAAATACGCTTCATTGAATCACAAGATGTGCATAAATTCTAAAACAAAAACGTGTGCATTCAATTGAGGTAGATACATTTTTTATACAATAAGAAGACATGCACATAAACTACAATGGAACGCATTTACAGAATAAATCGCTTGATGCTTAACAAAAAACTTTTACTTTGCCTCAACAGAGAATTTGATTGGATAACTGTACTAATGTATTTGTTCTCTTGAACACATGGGATGGAAACTTTATTTGCATATGTTTTATGCATCATCCCAATTTTGCACATAAGCTAAATTCGCAACTTTGGATGGAAACATAGAATACATCAAATTAATGTACATGGATTTTTTTGGTAGCAGTTTATTTCACAGTCCTGTTTCGTATGTACTTATTAAAGCAACTACAATAAGTGGGTTATAACTAGGTACTAACCCTGAACCTATCCCTAAACCTTACCTTAATCCGTTACCTTATATTACCAGTACTTTCTTGGGTAACTACACCGTAAGTACACAAACTGTAAAATAAATAACTGTTTTCTTTATTTTTATTATTAACATTATTTACATGAGAATTCCGAAACATAGCTCAACCACAATGAAAGTTACTGTTTAAAATACTCTCATCTGTTCTGCTGAAGCAGTGTGCACAGAGCCGTGTGACAGCTTCCTGTCAAATGTGCCGCACAAGTCCTGAAAAGTGAAGCCAGAGCATTTCGATCGTCCCCTCGGTGGCTGGCTGCGGTATAGGTCAAAAACCCGCCCTTTAATCGAAAGGGATTCAAGCCAAACTAAGATCACGACTGCACCGACTCAGGCAGGCTCCGAATTACTTGATTTGCAACCACCACATTATTTTTTTTTTTGCAGTCTATGCCTCTTATTTATCAACAGAGATAATTAAAATGTTACCAAACTGTGTGAGCAATGGTAAGGAAAACTATAGAAGCTTCACTGTCAGATGTGATGGGGAGCGCAAAAATGTTTCTCGTAGCATCGATGAAATATAAATAGGAATGTTGTTTCAGAAAACATTAACAGAGATAGTTGAAAATGAAACGATAAAGGGGCTGGACGTGAGCGTGTGTGACGTAGCATTAGATGGCTATTATGAGTGGTTTAGTCTTTTGTCTCAGTATGGCGGTTAAAGGTTAACAGCTCTGGAGCTGCAGCCACCTTCCTCTGGCAGCCGATGCTGAGAAATGAAAAATATGTTTCCTTTGAAATGCTGCCCTTGCATTAACCGACACAATGTTCCACCGTGTTTGCTTCACTGCTTGATTCAATATCCTGAGAGCCAGTCTGAGACGGGCCGGAGAGCATTGACCTCTGCTGCTGCTTGAGCAGAAACAGAGGGCATTATGGGTAACAATGCTTACTTTGAAACATACAGTGTGCATGTAGTAAAACTTTTGTACATAAGAATAGAATAATATGAAGTTGTTACAGGGAAATGCATCTATTAAATTAATAAACAGAATAAAATATGAAGATGCTTTAATAAAATATACCTGCTAAATTAATACATATAGAATATATTATATAATATGAAGTATAAAGGTTTTTTTGGCAAATGCATCTGCTAGATAAATAAATACAATATAAAATAGAACATAATATGAAGTTTCTTTAGGTTCAAGGACCCTGAATAATCTGCTTGATTGATTCATATATGATGCATATACTGTATAAGATTCATGTTTGTAATTAGATTTAGATAGTGGAGTGGTATGATGATGATGAAATACTATTGGTTTAACTGAGTTCACTACTTCCTTTACATGGAAAAGTCACAGACAGAGGATGTTACCGGACATTAAACTGCTATCAAAAATCTTGTTTGCAAAGGAAGTCTGGGTTATGAATCTCGGTGGGTTTGGACTGTGACGGGATCAGCCGAATGTATTACTGGGCACCTTCTTCAATATTCTCAGAGATCTGCAAAAATGATGGAATGGTAACCTGCACTGCTCCAAGTTTACTTCCAGCAATATTCAATATTCTGGCGCATCTCTTGTGCGGTCATAAATCTACCGCTGACTGAAGACACTTGCTCGACTTGTGTGCTTAATGAATTCTGTAGGCTGTGGGCTTGCTGTGAGTGATATATGATTTCATTCTGGCAATAGTGAAGAGTCTTATGGGCCTGTCAGTTTGTGTCAGTCTGTATGTGTGCTTGCATATATCTATTTGAGCCTGTGTTTGTAATTGTGCATTGCAAATGTTAACGGCACTTTTCGCGAGTGGAGTACAAAATTGGTCCACTCTTAATAAAATGAAGCCACTTATACAAATAGTCAGTGAGAGGAGGTGCTTAACCTTCAAAAATTGTTCTTCAACAACCTCACATGGTCAAAGTAGTTTGACATAGTTTAGTTTGGAATCTTGCATTAATTGCAACAAACGTGTTTTAGGAAGAAAAAAAAATCTATTGGCTAAACTGAGTTCATTGAAATATTATGAGCTGCAACACACACACTCATCCGTTTTATAAGGTTCAACTGCTCGTTAACGCAAATATCTAATCAGCCAATCACAAAGCAGAAACTCAGTACATTTAGGCATGTAGACATGATCAAGACGATCTGCTGAAGTTCAAACTGAGCATCAGAATGAGGAAGAAATGTGATTTAAGTGACTTAGAACTTGACATGGTTGTTAATGCCAGACGGGCTGGCCCGAGTATTTCAGAAACTGCTGATCTACTGGGATTTTCTACGCACAACCATCTCTAGGGTTTACAGAGAATGATCCGAAAAAGAGGAAATATCCAGTAAGCGGCAGTTCTGTTGGCGAAAATGCCTTGTTGATGCAAGAGCTCAGAGGAAAATGGCCGGACTGGTTCAAGCTGATAGAAAGACAACAGTAATTCAAATAACCTCTTGTTACAACCAAGGTATGCAGAAGAGCATCTCCGAACACAACACATTGGGTCTCATTCATGAAACATTCGTAAATATACGAGTAAATATGCGAGTGATTTGCGCGTAAAGAGACCTTCCCGAAAACTCTTCTCCTGATTCACAAATACTTCGTAAATGTCAGATGTGATAGTGAAATGTGTGTGTGTGTTAATGAATTCCAATCAGTCGTAAATGGGATGCGCGTGCACTTTTATTCTCAATTACCATAAATCCCGCCCATTAAATCCGACTGACAACTATATATGGGCATCATATTATGACATGAATGCGAATGAAGAAGAAAAAATTCTCAGATGCAGAAATTTAAGTTTTATTATCAGAAGTCACATTTTATTTTCAAGCGTACATAGTGGCGTATCGGGTCCTAAAAAAAGGAAGCTTGGCAGCATATTACAG